GTGTTAGGAGGGTTAGCCACTATTCTAAAAATATATCCTACCCGTCCTGTAACCCACATTACAACCATGAAAAAGTCCTAATTCATTTTAGATTGAGCAAGCCTACATTAGTGAAGGTTTACATAATGGGCAAGCCTATGGTACTTTGTGCATGCATGTGACGTCTTTGTGAGAGTAAGGAATTTCTTTGATATATGTGAGTCCTTAAAATATATTTGAGCATTTGATTCAAATGTATGGATTCAATTTACTCTCTTGTTCTTGTGGTGAGGGCACATGGTTTCGCAAGGGATAAGTAACGTTATTAGATGTCTCTATGATGTTAAGTGTTCAAGCTACGAATGCATTGTGATATTGAATCGGTTTATGAGGCTAGGCTTGTTATAAGCATGTTGTCTTATTGTTAAATAATTTTTTAAATTATGGCATAGAGTAAAGGTGTTATCTAGAGTTTTAATAGAACCTTTTGTAGGATAAATTCTTGTTATGTTTTTATATAATTGAGCCGTTGGATTTCACTACTTGTTCAACTACGTATTTATTATTATTGATTGAATGACCATCATTTAATTATGCCTATTTAGTGTGTATATTGATCGAGAGAGAGAGTAAGCATTAGGTAGTTGTTGAACAACATCACTCCTAACGTATGTGAGAGATCAATACAGATGGTTTAAAGGTGGGATTAGAGATAACAAAATCTTGGTGCGATCGTAGTGAGCAGTGAATTAGTGCCAGCTAGTGTAGTTCAAGAGAATACATCTAGTAAATTATGATAGTTGCTCGAGAGAGAATTATGACACCTGAAGTACTCACGATCGGTAGAGAATACTTAGGCGAAATTACAGAAGACGTAGCGAGAAGAATTCCGACAATTGGGGAAATCATAACTCTAGACCTTCTTAGGCTTGTCTCCAATTTCATCCTTGTTCGTTGACAATTTTACTGCTTTATAATATTTGTTAGTTAATTAGTAGAAATAAAAAATTAAATCTTTATTACTAGAAAATTATTTGGACTTGTGTTTCTTAGCAATATTGAGCAACTATAGCTAAGCCTTAATTGTAACGACCACTTAGTCCTTTTTATAAGGCATAGTTGGGCATGATTAGTAGTCCAATCTATTTTGTTGGAAAAGCCATAATAGCTGAAGCGTTGGCAATAAGAAAAGCAATTCAACTGGCGGTGAAGTATGGATGGAAGAATATACATATCTTGTCTGATTCCTTAACAATAGTTCAAATGCTTAATGGAAGCATAGGTCCTTCATGAGAGGTTAATACTGTTTGCGAAGATATTTGAGCACTTCAGCAACATGTGATTGATGTATCCGTTAAGTATCTAAGTAGAGGTTTTAATACTTGTAGCCATAAGTTAGCGAAATTTTCTCTCTCTACTTAGTAAAGTCTCTTGGTATGACAACTTTCCTGTTTGGATTGGCAACGAGGCTTCATCTTGTTTCGTACCATTGACTGTTGGGTTTGATTAATATATACTTTGTTTCCCCAGAAAAAAGAAAAAAAAATCTTTCGTTGTTTTCNAAAAGTCGGAAGAAAAAAAAATTAAGTTACTATATGAATCGACATGTAAAAATTTTGCATTACCAATGAATTTTATTTATCCCTTTTTCAGATTACCTGTTCCAGCTTATTTTAATTATCTGTAGTTTAAGTTAGTTTACTTTTCAAACCACCCAACCAGGTTATGTTCCTTATTCGGTGGGGGGTTTTGCAGGACCCCTACCTTGTTTATTGATAAAAATGAGGGGGACGTAAAACCAAAACCTCTAGAGGACACCAAGAGGACCGGATACATTATGATTACAGTATTGCATAAGACAATGCTATAACTAATATCAGGTCGGGGGAAGGGGAAGATTGTCTTCAAAGATTAGACCTCCCCTCGAGTGTTGTTTAAGGAGGATCATAGTGCTATCCTGAGTGCTTGCCCTTTTTGAATCTGAAGGAGGCCAACTATAATTTATCCATTCGCAGGGGCCTTCTTGAGTCCTCTGGTAAGTCCTCCTCTGTGAGAAAGATTCTCTCATTGCCCGATGTTATAGCCAACTTTGCAAGAGAGTTGGCTACCGCATTAGCTTCCCTATAACAATGTTTTATGTGGAAGCGTCTTTCAAGCATCTTCTTTTGCACCTCCTCCACAGCTCCTCGAAGCTTCCATGGTGGTTTAACCAGTCCTTGGATCATCTTCATAGCCACTTGTGAATCCATCTCTAGCGTGAGTTGTGGAGGTTGTTGTTGGTAGCACCAATTAATTTCATAGATAGCGGCATGCAGTTCACAAAGAGTGTTAGTTGAGAATTGCACTGATTTGGCAAAGGCCATAATCAAGTCCCCATTTCCCTTACTAACAATCCCCCCTATTCCTACTTGCCCGCTAGTGGCTACAAAACTTCCATCGGTGTTAATCTTCCATGTATCCCCTTGAGGCATTTCCCGGCACACCAGAACACTAGTTATCCTGGGTTTATAAGTTTTTGCTAAGTAACAGGTATTTTGCCAGCTCCAGTTGTAGTCTACTCTGCTATAGTATTTAGAAATATTAACCTGCACATTAAAGAGAACATGATTAGCAATCCTAAATAATGTAGTGGACTTGTTGCTTTATTTCTTCGCACATCGTGCTTTCCAGAGTTCCCACATGATGTAACAAGGGGTGATATTGAGTAATAATTTATGAAGTGCATTCTTTGGTATCGATTGCCACCAACAGTCCAAGACCCCTTTAATTGTAGTCCCTCCGTGCAGATGCCTAGAGGGCCCGCAAGATGATTCCAAACTTTGGAGGCCATGTAGTTAGTAGAGAAGACATGGTCCACTATTTCAGGATATGCATTTCTGCAGCATGTACAACTTGAAGTCGTTTGAATGCCGAACTTCAGAATAATGTCATCCAGAGGTAACTTCTTCATGAAAAGTTTCCACATGAAGAAGGAGACCTTGAAAGGGATACCTTTCCCCCAAATATGAGCAGCCATTGGATCCTTAGTTTGTTTTTCCTTAAGCTTGTCAAAGGCGGAAGAGCATGAGAAATTGCCAGTATTCTCCAGTATCCTTATACCCATGTCCGCATTTTCATTGTCACCAATTTCTATTTGTGGAATATCTTGAACTATCGTGTTAGATAGAAAGGTGCTGAGATTGGGGATATCCCACTGCCTGTCGAGAATATTGTCTTTAACCATGATACTCCCTGGTTTTATGGAGAGTTGTAACCTTTGAGCAATGGGGACTTGACTAGGCCAATTGTCCCACCAAAAGAAAATATTACCAGCATTTATTTCCCATTTGTTGTACTGCTCCACGCGAGGTTTGATTTGAAGTAAGCTTATCCATATATTGGAGTTGTTGGAAGCAATGACTTTAACCACCATATTGGTTCTCGGGCTATATTTATCTTTGATGAACTTAGACCACAAGTTGTCGATGGTTCTAAGTCTCCACCATCGCTTGGTTGTGATGGTATTGCAGATATCTTTGAGTCTTTTGAAACCTAGGCCCCCTTCCTCAGTTGGATAACACATTTTCCTCCATGAGCACCAGTGGTATTTACTCTTCCCCTCGTTCATTCCCCAGAAAAAGTTGGAGAAGTACTTCTCTATCTGTAATAGGATGGACATAGGAGGTTCCATGGCTGCGAAGAGATGAAGAGTCTGCGACTGGAGAATGTGCTTAATGATCGGAGCTTTGCCTTTAGCTGTGAGCATCTTGCTTTGCCAAGCATCTGCTTTAGAAACTACTTTAGTAGCCAGATCAGTAAAAAGATTGATCATTTTCCTGCCTGTGTAGATAGGACAGTCCAGGTAGGTGAAAGGAAAGTTAGATTGCTCATAGCCAGTCCATTTCTTAATCTTTCTGTTAATCCTTGGGTCGAGATCATGGTGTGTGACGAAACACCTTTTTTCCTTATTCACTTCCTGCCCAGAACCCTGTTGGTAGCTTTTAATCTTCTTCATTATTAGCATGATGGACTGTCTTCTGATGGAGGAGAATAAGACCACATCATCAGCATAACAGAAGTGATTGATTTGTGGACCATTAGCATTCATGTTGAAACCTTTGAAATTGTTGTTGGAATGGAGATGATTCGGAGACTTTGAGTCTTTTTCTCTGCCCAAGGACCATCTATCAGAGTATGCATTCTCTTAAGTTGCCTCCAGAGTCTTTTTCTTCTGCTAGCATTGGAATTTGCGTAAACAACAGTAAACCAAAAGTAGTTTGAATCACCAACTTGGTTAACCATGAAGGTCATTTGTTGTTTGTGTTGAGATATGAGGGTGCAGTTGAGAGTGTGATTCCAAAAACACCAAATTTTTCTATTGTTGTTTGCCATAGCATTGTTGAAACCAAGTTGTTCTCTAAATTCCTTAATCTGAGAAGGTGCCAGGAAACGGTCTTGTAATGCGATGAAGTTCACTTTGTGGAGTCTGACAAGTTTCAATAGTCTATTAAAAGCTCCTTTGGATCTCATACCCCTAATATTCCAAATGATGGCTTTAAACATTTGATTTAAGGGGTGGTGTAGTTTTATCTTGATGTTTAGTGTGTAGAAGACCTCCTTGACTGATATGCCCGGCTTGTCTTCCTTTCTTTTTCTTTTTCAGTTTTGTTCCCCTTGGGGATAGGCCCTGTTTAGCAGTTATGTTGTCTAGCTCCTCTGTAATAGGGTCTGGAGGTTCTGATAAAGCTGAAACTGCTCCATCTTGCTTACCAATATCCCCCTCTTCAGAAGATACATCTTTTACATTGTTGATTTCCACCAAAGTTCCCTGAGTGTCTGAAGAGTTTGTGTGTACCAGTTTGATAGGGATTTGAAACTTTGAACTTCTACAATCGATGCCGAAACCTATCAAATCACGTCCGATTGACCTTAGATTTTTCACACAAGTCATAATTGACATTACAAACCTACTCCAACTTCCGGAATCGGAATCCGACCCCGATATCAAAAAGTCCACTCCCCGTCAAACTTTCCCAAAAACCTTCAAATTCCCAGATTTAGCCAAATGACCCCAAAATGACCTACGGACCTCCAAATCCACTTCCGGACGCGCTCCTATGGCCAGAGTCATCATAAATACAACTGTAGGTTCATCTAATCTTACAAAGGTAAAAAGAGTTCGAGGTAGGAACAACGGCAAAGAAGTGGCATCACTTGAAGTCGGACAAAAGCTGAAAGTAACCTTTTACAATAATCGAACGATTGGAACAAATAGCAAACTATTTTCAAGGCACTTGGGCAGAATAGTTTGTGACCGCAATATGTGTCCGTCGGGAGTATCATCGTGGAATGCTATTAAGTAAGAAAAGTTGAATCACATATGGGCAGCTATTGAGGTAACAAATGTAGATAAGAGTATGCATGTGCATTTTGAGTCGCACATATAATTGTGCTATTTGCGCTGTGGCGAGGAAGACCAAAGGTGTAGTTAGGTGTGGTTGCAAACTTTTTATTCATATAGTGTACTTTTCTTATTAGAACCTGATCAATATTTTGCTGGTGTCTGGTGCTTAATATAGCGCTTAATTAATTAAGCTTCCCATATACATGCAGTCTGCAAAAAAACTATATCTGAATTTCATATGATATATATTACTGTTAAATTTTTCAAAAAAAACTGCATAGATGTTTTTGCCGATGACTGTATACAGATTTTTTAATTGTGATTTCAGTTTCTATCAATGGAGTACTTTTCTTTTCTTTTCTGAAATGCCTCCAACTCTGAATCAACAGCAACTAATTCTTGTCCAGCATTTGCAACATGTCCTACTACTGCTACTACTGCATGATTAGTAGTTGTTGCTCGATCAGCTCCAACACCTGATGCACCAGTAGAACCCTTTGTACCTCTAGGAGCTTTAGATGGTCCTCCACCCTTAGTTTTCTCAAGTTGCTGCCCCTCAAGATCCTTCTGCCCAACACCTGCTACAATAGCAATTGCAGCAGTAGGATTTTCTACTGTATCAACTGGAACACAACTATTTTTTCCAGTTTTTGTGACTTGTTCTACCACCGGTATTACTTGTGACTTACCCCCCATTAGCTGCTCTTTTTAAAACTTTCTCCTGTAAATACATTACCATGTCGCTTTTGGCCAGCCTTGGCTACAACTAAGTCTCCTTTAACCTTGCCATTGACAGTAGAAATTTGCTGACCTTCACCACATTGTAATATTAACACCTGCTGCTGCCCAATGTTTCTGTCAAACAAGCTGCCCAGCTCTTTTTGCATTGAAATTTCCCAATTTTGATCTCCTTTTTGGTTTAAACTACCTAGGTATCTGCTTCCATCTATAAATACCAAAATAAAGGAATGGAGACCAACTTTGAGCATGGATAGAGTTGCTGGCAGATGTTACTTGTATTTCTTATTCAGCCAATGTTATTTATTTTTCTACACAATACTTGAAACTTCATTCAAAATTTAGACTGCTACACATTTCTGTTTTTTTAAACTCTTTACATTAAGTGATTGCAGGGCTCAACATTGTCATTATAGTTGCTTGCATATTAGTTAACAGTGCATTGTTTTTCCACACCAGAAAAGTTCTATGATATCGTGATTATATTTTAACAGTGCATTATTTTCTTGTGATGCATTAACTCAACCAATATTTTGATTATTGTAGAATAAATTTGAGAGTGTTGACATGAATGTTCATCGTGATCATATCTTGGGATGGATGAAAGAGTTATGGAACAAATGGAGAGGACACTTGCATGCAAAATATGTGAAGGATAAGCCAATCCAACAGGCTCTTTAGGAATATTCCAAAGGGAGTAGACAAGAAAGAATGGGAGTGATTAGTAAAGGAACATTTTTCTTCAGAAAGTTTTCAGGTATGCCTAACAATTTAATAGTCTGTTTCTCCAAAGCTGTAGTCTGATTCCCTTTCCTAGTACCAGATATCTTTTTTCCGCAATATATGGAATCAAACCTAAGTATACTATTTAATTTTATTACAATAATTATAATTAAGCTTATTGTTTCACAAAGGCGAGAAGCAACAGTGTCACGACCCAATTTCCCCTCCGTTGGGTATCGTGATGGCACCTAGTCTTAGGGACTAGATAAGCCTAATATTAATTGAAACAACAATATTATTTAAATAACATCTAACAATTTAAAATAGAAATCTCTTAAAATTTACAATTCCCAAAACCGGTAGTACAAGTCATAAGCTCTACAGAGTGTTTGCTAGAAAACTTCTAAATATAACTATTCATAAATAAGAATAAACAGTGTAAAACGAAAACTTGAAGGTGACTCTGAAGCCTGCGAACACAGCAGCAGGTTTACCTTGAGTCTCCACAGCAACGACCCGCACAGCTGCTAACGAACAAAAATCTAGATCTGCACAAAAATATGCAGAAGTGTAGAATGAGCACACCACATCGGTGCCCAGTAAGTATCAAGACTAACCTCGGTGGAGTAGTGACGAGGAACAGTCAATACACTCACTAGTCTAATAATTTGAACAAGTATAAGTATATGAACAGCAGAAATATGATATCTACATAAAGACTATGCAATATGGCTCACAATACAGTAATGGCAATAAAAAAGGAAACAACAAGTATCAGCGGAATACCATAAAAATAACACAGAAAAGTGAATGGAACACAACCTAAATCCGGAATCACAAATACAGCAAAGACAAGTAATAACTCAGCAACTACAACCGCTTTTACACTAGGTTTTAGTCATCAAACTCCACGAGGTACCGAACCTCGGACAAATCACAACTCACGGCCCAACTCACGGGTCTCAATACCTAAACCCTAACACTTGGCATCCTGTGCCGTCATTACACTTCATAACCGCACTGACGACTCACGTGCCAATAGAGCCATTCTCACATAGAAGGCAAGTAAACAAGGTTGAGCATTTATGCTCAACAATATCAAGAAAACCTCTTATCCGATAAGAGTGCTTAATTACGTGTATGCTTGTGCAAGTGTCCTAACATAGTCCATACCAGCAAATAAGCATAAGGAAAAAGAACAGACAACACGCAGAATATTTCCTCACAACTTTCACAAGATAAAGCTATAGGTAAGTGTACCACTACACAAATATCAACAACAGAATGCCCCTAGGCCATCACAAATCAACACAAATCAATCCGTGACACAACCCACCTTGTCTCTCCATGTGTGCAATAGTAAAGTAAATGCCCGCCTTGTCTCGCCACACGTGCATAATAATATTCCCACCTTGTCTCGCCACATGCGCAACCCACACACACATATATATATATATCCCGCCTTGTCACGCCGCAGGTGCAAATATCAATAGCAACAATAGCACGGCAGAAATCTCGTGCATCACAATAACCACAACCGCACGGCAGAAACCTCGTGCATCACCACAATAAGTACAACAACAACAATGATAATAATACAAGGATACGATAAATACGTCAACTCAGAAAAATCAGAACTCAAGGAAACGGAGGAACTAATTCACAAGGGGTAGCCACGATAGAGAACGCTAGTTATAATAAGAACAGCTCAACAAGAAAGGAAATATTATGTAACAATGGTCCACAATGTACAGTTCGATAACGAGGGAGCTAACACAGACGAATAATTCCAAATAAGGACAAGCCAACAAAAATATGGGATATCTAGCTTCTTTTAAGGTTGGGCCATTAAGAGAGAGATACAACAACTTCAATTAAGGATAAGCAGTATAAGGATAGGACAACACGGCAATAGAAGAGATAACAATTTCAGTTAAGGCACATATGAATCAAATGAACAACAAGAGTGGATCATGAGGCAATTAATTCCAATTAAAGCAGGTAGAAGTGAAACTGAAAATTAAGAAACGTAATCGTAACGAGAACAACTGCATATTCAATGAGTATAAGGACCTAAGAATCCCTAAAAGGCTAATTTTTCACAATTAAGTCCGGGCACGTACTCGTCACCTCGCGTACACGGACTACAATTATCATAGAAGACTCAAATCCTAAGGGGTAGTTCCCCCACATGAAGTTAGGCAAGATACTTACCTCAAAGAAGACAGACCGATACTCAAAAAAGAACTTCTCGGATGAAATGACCTCCGGACGGCTCAAATCTAATCAAAATAACTTCAACGCACAAATAAAACCCATAAGAGACTATTCCGGATCATAAAGCCTCAATCTTTAACAAAATCTAAAAATTGGTCCAAAAGTCGACCCCCGAGCCCGCACCTCGGAACCCGACAAATTTCACAAAACCCGAACACCCATTCCGATATGAGTTCAATCATACTAAAATTATCAAATTCCGATACCAATTCATCTCTCAAATCATGATTTTTTTCATTTTGAATTTTTTTTTCAAAAACCTCATTTTTCCCCAACTCAAAGCACAAATTAAATGATAAAAATAAAGATAAAAATACGGAATATAATAAATTCTAGGTGAAGAACACTTACCCAATCGATTTGCTTGAAAAACCCACAAGGAATCGCTAAAAAACCAAGCTCTATAAGTCAAGATATGATCAAAATGGCCTAACCCTCGATTTGAAAATCTTATATTCTGCCCAGGTCTTTAAGCATCGCGAACGCGGAAGCACAATCGCGTTCGCGAAGAAGAAAAACAAAAGCTGCCCAGTTGTGCTTCGCGAATGCGACAACACGTTCGCGAACGCGGAGAGGAAAAATCTGATGGCCCAACGACTTCTCTTCGCGAACGCGTGAAGTGGTACGCGAACGCGAAGAAGAAATAGCCAACAGCCCCCAGCTCCCAATTTCTACTACGCGAACGTGAGGGAACAGATGCGAAGGCGAAGAAGGAGAAAGCAGACTTTTGCGATCGCGAATGTCAACGCGAAGAACAATGAATTCCTCCTCCATAATTACTCTTCGCGAACGTGAAGGAAGGGACACGAACGCGATTAAGGAAACCAGATGACAGAAAAGAACAGTTCAAAAATTGAAGGAAATGGACTGTAGCCCATCCGAAACACACCCGAGGCCCCCGGGACCCTGTCTAAAACACAAACAAGTTCCATAACCTAACACGGACTCGCTCGAGGTCTCAAATTACATCAAATAATGTCAAAAATACAAATCGCACCACGAATCGAACTTATGAACTTTCAAAACTTCCAACTTCAAAAACTCATGCCGAAACCAATCAAACCAACCCGGAATGACGTCAAATTTTGCAGGCAAGTCCCAAATAACATAATGGAGCTATTACAACTCTCGGAATCACATTCCGACCCCGATATCATAAGGTCCACTTCTGGTCCAAATCTCCAAAAATTCGACTTTTGCCATTTCAAGCCTAAATGAGCTACCGACCTCCGAAACATAATCCGAACACGCCCCTAAGTCCAAAATTACCTAACGGAGCTAACGGAACTCCATTCCGGAGTCGTCTTCATACAGTTCTGATTACAGTCAAAATTCTAAGACTTAAGTTTCCGTTTTAGGGACTAAGTGTCCCAAATCACTCTGAATCATCCGGTAACTGAATTCAACCACGCACGCAAGTCAATACACATAATACGAATCCGCTCAGGGCCTTATGCCACCGAACGAGACTTAAATTCTCAAAACGACCGGTCGGGTCGTTACAAATAGGAATGCAGCAAACCGAGCTAAGTTGAAGATGCTGCATCATATTAGTAGTAAGCCTATTCGAGAGATAATTTATCAAAAGTATTATTATTATAAAATCTCTATTTTTCTAACGGAAATATTTACGAGGTGTTTCTGGACATAGTTTCCTTAGATGTAAAGGGCGGGAAAGATGGCAATCCACCAGATTTGGCAACAAGTTTCTTTGAGACTCATAAGATAAATAACAAGCTTATTGAACCTGAAGCAATTGAAAAATATGTATGTTTGGTAAATTGAATATGTAAATTACTTGAAATTATTATTGGTTCAGATATAAAATATTTTTTTATATGTTTTGTAGGCTCAGATTGAATAAATAGTTCAATCGGATCCATCTCTACCTAGCATAGAGATAGTAGAAAAACGTTATGGACCTCAAACCCGTAGCCATGTATTTGACGTTGGGAATGGAGTAAAGGCGAAAGACTTGAAAGGTGGTACTTCTTCAAAGGCTGAATTATTGTTTGCGCTATGTTCAACTAGAGAGGAAAATAAATCTTTGAATGAGGAAAACAAATCCTTACAGGATCACTTTTCTACCTTAGAAGATGAGATGAAAGAAATGAGGAAAATAAAGGAATTCTTCGCTATTCAGCAATCACGTGTCTCTCATTCGACATCGTTCGTTTCAACTGAATGACCACTATTTTTGTCTAATGAACAAGTTAGTAACAATATACCCTTCCTTTTAATTTTTTTTGTTGATTTTTATATAGTCATTTCTATCTTATTGCTACCTCTGTTGCATTCACGCTTTTATATTCCTTCAAATTAAACACTATGGGCAGACGAATCCTTGTCAGTTATACTGGAAGGTCCTTATGTTTTTATCTTCAAGTTATAATTCAAGTGTTTTTCGTTTCATCTTCATTCCCATCTTAGCTATAAGATTGCTATACAAAGCTCTTAGTTTGATAATACACTGATAACTCAGTGTTGTAGGTGGTCGAAAATACATTACAATATTTGTGTTTAATCTAATAAACCTTTCTGGTGTTCAACTAATTAAGCATCTTAATCTTTTAGCCAAATACATTCTTTCCTATCTGATAGAAGATAAAAAAGAAGATATCCTTAATTTTCCATCACTCTAAAAATGATGTATTCTTATTTGATCAACCAATTGGAGCTGCAAATGCGGACAATAATTCATCACCTCTTTTTTATAAATTAGAATATTCTCTGTAAACTTGAATGAAGGAAATCTAACAACTCTTTTCTTATGGGTGGTGTTTCATAATTGCCTTCTATCTTCATAAGTCTACACCCTTTGGCCCTTTAAGCAAGTACATCGTTACTTGGATGTTGTTTTTCTTTATAGTGAATTATTCGTCTTATCTGATTTCCCAGTTACCTTGTTGCTGCTGTTGGCTTGCAGAGCTTATGGAGTTAAAATATGTCACATGGGCTAATCCTGAATTTACTTCCTTTGTTTCTTAGGATGACCATAACTTTTAAGGGATCTTGGCATACTCTTTTGAATGGTAAATCCCGAGTTACCGTACCGGGATTTATCGAATCGAGGTTTGATTTATCGTTAGACAATTATATAAATTGTATTGTACCATTGTTGTTGACAAGGTTGAGGTGTTTGAACTGAGAATATGAGTTATCGGCAAAAACTCGTTGGAAAGAAGATTGAGGTTTGATTTCTGCATTTAGATAACAAAAATATTTCTTTTGTTGCTTTTTCCTACTCTCTTTTTGAACTTTCTGGAAGCTCTTTGTTATGAATATGGAAATGGCTACTGTGAGACAAGTATCTATAGTGAGCTTAACTGCCAGCTTCAAACTTTCCTTGTTCTATATTTAAAGATTCACTTTGATTCTCCGATTCTTCTTTCCCTTTTGCACATTGCTTTTTACTGTGCAATTTGAAATCCAAGTCTCCAGAACTTTTCTAATTAATTTTCTTATATTCCTGTAGCCTTGTTGATATTGTTGGATAACGCCTGATGAATTTAGACTGCTTTTGGGGTAAGCGGTTTAACTATTGCTAGTGTAAATTTACATATATATTGGACACGTTGGCCAACTTAGGTTCGTCCACGGAAATGAAAGGAGATGATTCTGGTGCAGTTGTTCAGCTGTTGCATTCAATCCTAGATGTGGATGTTTACTGTAAAGTTAACTCAACTAACCTAATTTTGAATTGGAGAAACAAGTTTATAGAATATTTACGGCATGAAAAACTGCCTGATGATTCTAAAGCGTCCCGGGCATTACGAACAAATGTTGTCCGTTGTTGTCTTGCTGATGGACAATTATACCGAAGGTCTTTCCAGGGTTCGTTGGCTCGGTGTCTAGGACCATTAGAAGATGATTATGTGATGAGGGAAGTTGTGAAGAAGTTTGTGAAAATCACTCCGGTGCGGATTCATTGGTGCTCAAATTAACGAGGACTAGTTATTATTGACCCTGGATGGAGCAAGATGTAAAGGTGTTTGTACAAAAATGTGATAAGTGCCAACATCATGGTCAATTGGTGCATCAGCCGACGGAGCTCTTGCATTCAATGGTGTCACTATGGACATTCATGAAATGGGGGATGAATATAGTCGGTCATTTGCTTCAAGGGCCCAGGCAGGTAAAATTTCTTTTAGTTTTGAATGATTATTTCACTAAGTGGGTTGAAGAAAGTGCTTTCAAGAAGATTGGAGAATGAGAAGTGATTGATTTCATTTGGTCTCATATCATTTGCCGATTTGAAGTACCAAAATAAATTGCTTGTGACAATGGGCCACAATTTGTAGGTTCCAAGATTATAAAATTCCTAAAAGGATTGAATATCAAAAGGACCACGTCCTCCCCATACAACCAAGTGATAACGGTCAAGCGGAATCAACTAATAAGGTGATAATTCAGAGCCTCAAAAAGAAATTAGATGGTGCGAAAGGCAGATGGCCAGAAGAGTTGTCAGGAGTATTGTAGGCGTATCGAACAACGGCAAAGTCGAGCACAAGAAAATGTTATTTTCCCTTGTGTACGTTACAGAAGCTTTGATTCCCGTGGAGATTGGTGAACTGACCATGAGGTATTCCCGAGAAAACGAGCAGGAAAATGACAAAGCAATGTTGATTAAGTTGGACTTACTTGAGGAGTACCAAAACTTAGCTTTTGTAAGAATGGTTGCACAAAAGCAAAGGATGGAAAGGTATTACAACCGCAGAGCAAATCTTTGCTATTTCAAAATCGGAGATTTGGTTTTATGAAAGGCAATGCTGGGAAGTTGGGACCAACCTGGAAAGGACCTTACCCGATTTCAGCTATAACTGGTAAAGGTTCATATCAACTGAAAAATCAAGATGGAGTAAAATTACCAAGCAACTGGAACGTGACTCACCTCAATAGGTATTACTATTGAAGATACTTGATGATACTGAAAGTATGCGCTGCATTTTTTTTTCTTTCGTCCAATTTTTATCCCAAACGGGTTTTTCTAGCAAGGTTTTTAATAAGGATGCAACGTAAAGCATACTCCGAAGAATATCGTCGATAGCAACAAGAATTCCAGTATGCATATTCTCATACTTTGCACTCGAACACTGGGGGAAGCTATTGTATAATATAGCACTAAAAATATAGGACTGCTAGAATGGGGAACTATCTCTTGAATTTAAAAAGTTCAGTTACTATGAAAGACCTTAAATCAGGATCGGGGATTGTGCGACCAAGTCCGTAGAAATAAGTTGTACAAGTTATCCACATGTATTGGCAGCTTTATTTACTTAAGTGAATGTATAGTTTTTTTGGCTTATGTAAATGTACTTTTGAAATAAAAGGAATAAATAAGAGACCTTTTGTTTTTATCTTATTTCTTGTATAAATGATATGACTTGGTATTTTTTCATTTGAATGTTACTTAAAACTTCAAATGCAAGTGTCAGAATGAACAGGAGACGTTCCTTCAAGAGCATCATAAACATAAGGGCCCACTCTTATGAAACCCTCAAATTAATGGGTAAAATCGAAAGTATGAATGCATGGTACTAAAGTTAACCGTATGAGAAAAGTTTTCGAACTTTACCTATTGAAAAACAAAAAGATATCTTTTACACAGAAGTTAAGTTAAAAGAGTATCTTTTATTTCGAAAAATCACGGGCCCACTAGAGACTCCAAGGTAATTACAAAAAAAAAATATTAGTCTGATTTATCAGCTGAGTCTGAAAAGTGAAAAGTCTATGTTGCATCTTTTGAAGATGAAGGTTGCTCAGCATCCAGTTCAGCATCATCATTCTTATCTTCTTCTGCAGTTTTCGAGGATTCAAAGTAAGTCCTCGAGGAGCTTGAAACAGTGGGCCAGGCAAGAATGTTCTCAAAGGCAGTTGTCTCCAAATTAAGGGCTTTAGCGATATAGTTATCTATATTTAAAATATTTTCTTTTGGCATCCGCCAAAGTTTTCCTTCTCATATGTGTGAGCACGTGATTTTTGCCCAACTAAAATTACTCCTACAAAGTTCAAAAATAGATTTTTCTAAATTATTTTAATTTTTATTGAACTCTTTAGGATTTTCTGGTTAATTTTATTTGCATTTAGTTGCATATTGAATATTTAAAATTATGAAAAAATATCAAAAATGTCTAAAATATTCATTGCATATAATCTTAGATTTAATTGCAATTAGGATTTAAAATCAAAAAAAAAAGAGAAAGAAAGAGAGAAGGGATTTTGGGCAAACAATGTCTAAGCCCAAAATTGCCCTCAAAACCCAACTCGCCCCAAGCCTAGTCCGTTTCAGCCCTCACTTAACCAAAAACGGCGTCGTTTTAGTAATGGCGATCTTAGCCGTTGATTTCATTTGATCGAACGGCCCAGAACCCCACACCACATCCCCATATAAGTGTCTGAATTCCCCCCCCCCCC